AAATGAGCACACAGACAAAACTTTTTGGTGATTCACAATTAAACAAAAAACTAGGGAAAAAACTGATATACTGACTCAATGCTCAATGCTATCGATGAGAGAAAAAGAGACATTCCACTTTAATGAATTTTCGTTTTCCCATTTTTTTATTCAAATTTTTATGCTGAAGAGCACGCCCAAAAGTACAGCCTTTAATGTTCATGCTAAGTATTTTTTTTTCATTTAATTTTTTTGTATTTAGCASATATTGATCGGTCTGTCTGTCGCACCACATGAGCTAACTAGGGCCCAGTCTTCCCAATCAGCTTGACAACCAACACGTGCGGAAGCCATTTTGGATTTTCGCCGGCAACTTCATTACGAATTTTAGCAAAATAATTCACTSCATCGTGGAAAAATGTCTGTAATTGTATTAAGTAAGTAAATGATTTGTTGTTTGAGGTGTTCAGTTTGTCAGGATAATAAAAAGCTGACAAAAATAATGATCTTTTCAATACAGATCAGAATACAAAGCGAGAATCTGGGAGGAAAGTTCAAATTGGCAACGTTCAAGCTGCAAAGGTTAGCTTTATATGCTGATGCTTTAACATTTTACTTTATAAACTCGTTATTTGAAATGTTTTTTACTGTATTGGATAAAGATCAAGCATAGATTTTGAACATGGAAGTTTAAATATGCCCAACAACTGGTCTCAGTGGTACATTCTTGTACACTCACAACTCCGATGAGCTTTTGTACGATTTTCTTCTTTACAAAGCCACTTTCTCAATTTATATAGAACTATTTATCTGCTTCATATCCAATTGTGTATACTTGSCTGTGATTTGTGTTTTACAAAGTRTTTGTTTGGCAGTTTTACTCCCCTGTATTCTGCCATTTTTTGTGGGTGTGACAAGTTTTTTTRAAAAATGCTAATGCTTAAATTTTAGACAAATCCAAGTAAAATCTATTGGTCTTTGAAATKCTTTCATATCATATTGATATAAATTTCCTCCAAAGTTGTCATATTTTCATTTTCCCTTCTGTTTCTTCCTATACCATTTTCTTTAGTCCTCTTCCCGCTTTGTTTCATTTTAATTTGTCTTTCTTTCTTAAACCACAATAATTTATTGATGAAACACATTTTTCGCATTTTACTAGACGATTGCTGAYGTAATACGAACATGTCTTGGTCCAAGGGCAATGCTTAAGGTATAATGCATATTTATGAGCCYRGTRTTGTGTTACTGTTCAAATACTTAATGTAGTAGCCTTTTTCGCTCGTGGTCACCTACAATAACAGACTGACAGCAAAACATGCTGTTAATTTTATTAAAATAACAATGAATGTATGTTTGCTTATGCTTATGTTTGTAGATGTTGATGGATCCAATGGGAGGAATAGTCATGACAAATGATGGCAATGCTATYCTAAGAGAGGTAATAACTAACAATATTAGCAATAAATGACTGATTTAAACACRGAATCATTCAAACTCTTGAATATCTTTTTAAAGGTTCAGTTATGGAAATTCTAACCATTTTGTTKTGACTCCATAAAATGATATTYTTCATGATTTTGTTGTAGATTCAAGTTCAACATCCAGCTGCGAAATCAATGATCGAAATCAGCAGAACACAAGACGAGGAAGTAGGAGATGGCACGACGTCAGTCATTATACTTGGTAAGTTTACTCTAGAGTAGATTTCTTAGGACTACATAGTCAGTACAACTGATGGCTGGGTCAATGTTGAAGTGATAGAAGAGATTGTAGCTAAAATGCAGTCAAGACCAGAAAGTGCCATAGTTTTTACTCATGTATATGGAGTGCTCTCTATAAAATGATAAATACGGTTTGCGAAGTATAGGTTTTAAAAGTAAACCATTATTTAAAACACACAGACTATAAATAAATGATCCAAACATATCAATAATTTTATTAATTTATTATTGATTTATTATGTAATTATTCAATAGCTGGTGAGTTTATGTCCTGTGCCGAGCCGTTTCTAGAGCAACAGCTGCATCCTACACAGATAATAGCAGCTTATCGTCAGGCCATGGATGACATGATTGATATACTAAAAGATGAAATCAGGTTTGCTTCTTGCACTTTCTTAAATCAGTAATACTTAAAATCCATTTACTGTCAACTCTCGCCTTACACTACAACAGACACCTTGAATTTGTGGCCAGTAAAATACTGAATGCCTGGCAAAAATTACAAAGAAATGACTGAAAGTAACTTTCGTTACTACAGACTCCTGCTACTGCAGACACTAAATTACGGTCCCGAGGGTGTCCGTAATAGCGACTGTAGTTGACTGTAATTGGATAAAAGGATATTGTCATTACATGTATAATAAAGTTATTATGATTGCTAAACAACATTTCACTTAGTTAACAAATGTAATTTGTGAGAATCAAGGTACGAGATTAGCAGGAATTAATATTTTGCTGCAATACAAAAAAAGATTGCATATTGTGTGGTCCAACATCTACCATCAACCTTGCCTTAGCTGTTTACCTGGATGGTTGACCAGTACAAGCATCAAACCTTAGTGTCTGTTGTTCATAAGCATGGTGGAGTCAAAATACTGTTTTTATTTTGTAGTGTTCCTGTAGATGTCAATAATAGAGAAGAAATGATAAAGATTATTAGGAGTTCTGTTGGTACTAAATTTATCAATAAATGGTATGAGATTATGTATAAACTTGTTTGGTTCTGGTTTACTAGTAAGTACTCTGTATATTAATGTTGCTTGTATTTTTCTGTAACTTAGGGGTGACTTAGCATGTAATATTGCATTAGATGCTGTCAATACAGTTGTTATTGATAGAGGAGACAATAGGAAAGAGATTGACATCAAAAACTATGCAAAAGTAGAAAAGGTATGACAAATAAACAAAAGTATATTCTGATGGGTTAAGTTTTGCAAAGCCAAGTGAAGTTGGTTTCACTGTGTTAYTTTTGCAAGTTTTTTGGGGCGTTGCTGCTTCAATAACATCATGTTTTTCATTTCAATGTGTGGTCAATTTGCAACACCTAGAATCACTACAAACAAACCTATATACAAAATCAAATTATCATCCTTTCTTGTTTTTTATCGGAAATCCATAGTTCGCTGACTGCTAAATGATTGTGTGTACTAGATTTATATTATTGCCATGATGTTTTTTCAACAATTCAATTCCATCATTCATTTGTAAAATGTCAGGTACCAGGAGGAGACATTGAAGATTCTAGAGTATTAACAGGAGTTATGTTGAACAAAGATGTCACCCATGGAAGAATGAAAAGGTTGGTTATTGTTGAAATTTTACTCCATTATTTGTTGTTCA